GTTGTTGTTGTTATTGGTGGTGGTGGTGGTGGTGGTGGAAGAAGGACAAGTATAGCCAGGAATTCATCATGTCAAGATATCTCTTCTGCTGATCTCATCTCTATTTGGGGGGGGGAGGGGTAGGCACAAAGAGCCCAAGAAGTATTATTCATTTGTAATTATTCATGATAATTGATCTTCCTAACTAAACATTTCAAAGGAGGTGAGGCTGGGGAGTGCCGAACACTTGTGTGGCTGAAGTACAAACTGGGATGAACTGGCAAACCAGTGGTTCGTGCCCATCTCCAGTCTCTACCTTGCTGATTCAAGAATCAGCCTAAAATGGGAACATATGTGCAAAACCACCTTCAAATCTGCTCATAACCAAAGCACACCAGGTCTCTCCTGCCAGCAAAGCCACAGTTCTTAAGATGCAGATTTAGGCAGTGCACATTAAAAAGGTCAGTTTCCTTGATAATAAGGGCTCCTTTTCAGTGGAGCTGATAAACGATACATTTTCACCACATACATTAAAAATGGAAGAGGCAGTTATGAAGTGCAAGAGATAAAATCTCTTTGTTATAACTATAGTTTATCACTCCCATAACATGTTCTTACTCTGTGCTTGAACAAAGTTGCCCATAAATCAAATTTTTTATTGTTATTAATTAATTATAGTACTGCAATCTTAAAGTATACAACACTTTATAACTGCCCAGCTCCATGCCATGTTTAGTTACAACCATAAATTGTTTATTACAAATTGTTTCTATAAAACATTTATATTACAATTTTAATAAAATATACACCCTGTAAAATCTTAGATTTAAAAAGTGGAGATTTTGCCAGTAGAGCACCCCCCCACACACTTTTTAAAAAATTCTGTGTTGTTTGGTAGAATGGCTAAAGGAAACCTCCAAAAGTCCACAACTTTCTAACAGCCTTCTGCTCAGGGTTTTAACCTCTCTAAAATTCATGAACATGTGCACCTATGCATTGTGCTCTCTGAAAAATTTAAAGGGAATATCTGCACATACATCGCTTGGAAGATATGAAACGTATTGCAAGTTGGATCAACAGTCAACTGCAGCAAGAGTTTTATGCCCTCTCCTATGACAGCTCCGGGGGTGCTGTGCCTGATCCAGATGTGCACTTTTTACCTAGATTCAAGATTGTGGCAAATACGAAAGGTAGTAGACATTAGGTCACTTGTGCAAAAGCTTCCATAAATGTGATGAAGGTGGGTTGCTATCTTATTAGGAGTCTGAATAAGTCCTAGTCTTTAGAGAAAGATAGGCGGGAGGTTAGACAGACAGACAGACAGACAGACAGACAGACAGACAGACAGACAGGAAGGAAGCAAGGAAGGAAGGAAGCAAGGAAGGAAGGGTTTACCCAGAGGAAGCAGTGCAGAGGAACGCTAACACAGCATATTGTGTTAATTTTATGGAAGCTTTTTCACAGAGGGTTTACCCAGAGGAAGTAGTGCAGAGGACCGCTAACACAGCATCTTGTGTTAATTTTATGGAAGCTTTTTCACAGGTGTTCCCAGCTTTGAGTTCCCAAGTGTTCTTAGACTGCAACCCCCATGAATCCTGGCCAACACAGCTAATAGTGAAGACCTCTGGAAGTTTTAGTCCGAGAACATCTGGGGAACCAAGGTTGGGAATCTATACTCGATTAGCAGTGCTTCCTGTCCACATTCTGAAAGCATTCTGCAAATTTATTTTATTTTATTTATTTATTTATTTATTTTATTTATATCCCGCCTATCTAGTTGGTTAAGACCACTCTAGGTGGCTTACAGCAAAACATACAACAATATATATATAAACAATTTTACATAAAGAAAAAACTTTCAGCAAGGTGGGACAAAGAGTAGGGAGAGGAGAAGAAGGGGAGGTCAGGAGTTGATTGAGGGGAAGGCCTGCCGGAACATCAGTGTTTTTAGTTGCTTTTTAAAAATACCCAGCGAGTGGTAGTCTGGGAAACAGGATGCTTGGGCAGCAGTTGTCTTATACAGTGACCTTCCATTCACTCAATCTGTTAAGTAAAAAAAAATGCACACCAGTTTCTTCTGACCAGCATATGTGCTCCAAAGTTTCAGAGACAGTGGCACTCAATTCTGTACCGAGGATGTTTTGCATGCAAAACCACTGAACAAAGGCCTTCCTCACTCTTCTTGGCATACAGCCAGAGGTGGATCATGGCCAGAGTAGAGGTTCCCCATCTCAAAGTGAAGTGAAGCACCTATGTCTATACCTATCAGCAACCACCAACCACCCGTGTAGCTATACAGATCTGGTAAAGCGGACACATTTAAATTCATTTTGGTAAGGGACATAATTAAAATGAGGAATTCACATCACTAGATACGTATTCATTTACAGAGTCTTTTCAGATTCATAATCACCATAACTCCACATGCCTGTGCTGCTACTTAGCAAACACTAGTACTGTTCTTATTGTCAGGCATGACATCTGTGCCTTTATATTTACATTCAGCACACAGAGTTATTCTCAGTGCTGAAGTCAATGGCAAGCTGCTTGATAACACCAAAGCTACTTGAGTGTATCAAATCTCCCATGCATGCAAGAAGCAACATGCCTTTTGAATTTTGTTTCAAAATGCTATCAATGAACAGCTCCATAACTTGTCAGGTTGCAAAGTGCAAGTTTACAATTACAAATCTTCCTGCAAAATATAAAACATGGGCTTCACAGAATGCCCTGTAAATAAAGACACCAGGACACAAAACAGAAAATTCTCCCTGCATCATTTTCTAGTAGAAATAGCAAAAGAAGGTTGTTTTCATGAATTTTTCAAATGTTTTCTTTGCATCAGGATGCCTAGGTAAATACTTGAATGAATCTTTTGCTTTCCTTGCCTTGATCTAAATTTCTCCTCTCCAATTTTCCCCAAATATACAAAAACACATCATGCACGGTATGTACTAAAAAGAAGAATGCCCTTCTTTTTAAAGATTTTGCAACAAAATCTCTTTACAGTACCATCACACTAACCAACTGCATACAGTCATGGCCAAAAATATTGGCACCCTTGAAGTTCTGTCAGAAAATGCAACCCTTCTCTCAGAACATTGTTGTAGTTGCAAATGTTTTGCTACTCACATGTTCATCACACACACACAAAACAGAGAAGAAAAGTCAAATCTGATACAATCCCACACAGAAACCCAAAAATGCACTGGCCAAAATTATTGGCACCCTTAACTTAATATTTGGTAGCCCCCTCTTTGGAAAAAAATAACTGAAATCAATCACTTCCTGTAGCCACGAATGAGTTTCTTATACCTCTCTACTGGAATTTTGGACCACTCTTCTTTTGCAAACTCCCCCAGGGCCTTCAGATTTGAAAGATGCCTTCTCCCAACTGCTGTTTTCAGATCTTTCCACAGGTGTTCTATTGGATTCAGATCTAGACTCATTGCTAGCCATTTCAGAAATCTCCAGCGCTTTGTTTGTAACCATTTCTGAGTGCTTTTTGAAGTGTGTTTCGGGTCATTGTCCTGCTGGAAGTCCCATGACCTCTGGGGCAGACGTAGCTTTCTGACACTGGCCACTACATTCCACCCCAACATTCTTTGGTAATCATCAGATTTCATGCAGTTCACACAGTCAAGGCATCCAGTGCCAGAAGCAGCAAAGCAAACCCAAAACATCTTTGAACTTCCACCATGTTTGACTGTAGAGACTGTGTTCTTTTCTTTGAATGCCTCATTTATTTTTCTGTAAACAATGTCATGATGTCCTTGACCAAAAAGCTCTGCTTTTATCTCATCTGTCCACAGTACATTCTTCCAGAAGGATTGTGGTTTTTGTCACATAAGTTCTGGCATACTCAAGTCTTGTTTTTTTTTTATGCCTTTGTGTCAGCAGTGGTGTCCTCCTGGGTCTCCTTCCATAGCATCCCTTTTCATTCAGATGGTAATGGATAGTGCGAGCTGACACTGTTGTACCCTGTGTCTGCAGATCAGCTTTGATTTGTTGGGAACTTAATCTGGGTTCTGTATCCACCATTTGAACAACCCTTCATTGTAATTTTTCAGTAATTTTGCTCTTCAATCCATGTCCAGGGAGGTTAGCTACAGTGCCATGGGCTGTAAAACTCTTGATGATATTGCACACAGTGGACACAGGAACATTAAGATCTCTGGAGATGGACTTGTAGCCTTGAGATGGTTGAGTTTTTTTCAGAATTTTTTCTCTCAAATCCACAGATAACTCTTTACATTTCATTCTTTTCTCCATGCTCAGTGTCACACACAACACAAAGGTTGAGTCAACTTTTCTCCATCTTAACTGGTTGCAAGTGTGATTACTATATTGCCCACACCTCTTACTTGTGACAGATGTGTCTAAATACAAATTAAAGGAGCATCACATGCTTGAAAAGCAATTATTTCTTACAACTTGGACTGGGTGCCAATAATTCTGGCCAGTGCATTTTTGGGTTTCTGTGTGGGATTGTATCAGATTTGACTTTTCTTCTCTGTTTTGCATGTTGTTCCAATGCAAACCAAGGAAATGAACATGTGAGTACCAAAACATTTGCAATTGCAAAATTTTCTGAATGAAAGGTTGCATTTTCTGACAGCATTGCAAGGGTGCCAATATTTTTGACCATGACTGTACACTAAAATACACCTGTATGCTTTTTCAGAGGATAACATGTATTAAGGACTCCCACAAATACAATGACAAAGTGCTTCAACGTGTTTACCTGTGCTGTCATCGTAAACAACTGTGACAGTTTTCCACTTGAAGAACTGCACAAGGTCAAGGATGGCGCGGCTGAGTGAAGAGAAATCAGGATAAAGGCTGACATAAAATGAGTCTTTGTTGTCGGAAACTTGGTGCTTCCAGCGCGTCTGTATATGTGGAACGCCTAATGCATTGCAGATAGACTGCACTGCGTTAGCTGAAGAGCTGTGGGAAGGCCCAAAGATAGCTGCCACTCCAAGAGAGAGCTGATCACAAGCTGAAAGGGAAGAAAAGGGCAATTAGCCATGTGCAAAGTAGAAGAAAAAGAAGAAGCAGCCAGTTTTTATCACACACTCTTCAAAACAACTTGGCCTCTCCAGGCAGTAATGCACCTAATTTCAGTAAGTGCCCCATGTTTTTGGTTAATTAATTTGATGCAATTATCTACAGTTCATGAAAACATATGCCAGATTAAAATTAGTCTTTAAGATTTCACAAGACTCTTGGTCATTTCCGCTGCAATACAAGGTTGTTCTCATGAATTTTTCAGAATTCCTCAGAATTTTTTTAAAAAATTGTTGTTGTTTAGTTGTTTAGTCGTGTCTGACTGTTTGTGTTTGTATGCAGAGGCTATATTCAACAGTGTCTCTCTGTAGAAAGGAGGCCTTTTGATCTATTTTTAAAAGAATGTTTTATTTCAAATTTTATCTGAATGCAAAAACCAAAATTAACAACATTCATCAGACAAAACCTCATTAAGCCATAGGTAACCATATTGAGACTGAGACTTGTTGATCCCATTCCCAGCTGTAGATAATTACCAATCTCACTCCCATACATAAAAATATTGTCAAAGTTTTTTTCCACCTTAGGTTCATGGTTTGTACCTACAAATAAAGACAACAGCCTTAATGAAAGTCTTATCTCAATTGACTGACTGGTTGGCTACAAAACCCAAGCTAGCATCTTAAAAACCTATTCTCAAAACTGGTAGCTTGAGGGTCATTACCACTTCCTCCAACAGCTTGTGAATACATAACTACAATGATGGCTTAGTCTTAACACCTATGAAAATCTTTGCTCTAGCAAAGAAGCCTTTATTAATAGAATGGGGAGGAAAGCTCTTTCGCCAGTTCCTTTCCTCCTCCTGAAAGGTTCCTGTAGGTTCTCCAAATCTAATCCTTCTCTGATAGAAGTACCAGTCTCATTCCCATACATAATAAGGTTGTCAACTTTTAGGACACAGTAAAAGTGTCACGGAGGGCTGCTGAAGGGAGATGGTAGCCTTGATAATCACCCCATCTCCATGCCACTGCCTGAAGCCTCCATTGCTCCATTTCAGTAGACTGATCCGAGGGACACTATTAGATGTTATTGTCCACTTTCCTGCTGTTTATGCATGCAAAATGCCAACAACAGAAGCTTCTGTGATATCATAACTGGTCATGTGATCAGGGATGTGACTGTGTTGACTAGCAGCTCAAAATATTACTGCAGCAGCTTTTGCAGTTGGATTTCCATATGCCTGAATATTGAATAGGATCCTGCCCTATGTGTTTTATAATTTCTTAGCTTTCACTTGAGCACTTCTTCACTGGTCACCCTCCAAGAATTCCAGGAAATCCAATAATTTCTTAGGATACTGTGAGAAATTCATGTTTCAAGTGCTTCTACAGTGGTGCCTCGCAAGACGATTGTTCTGCAAAAATCGTTGTCTTGTGAAAAAATCGTCTTGCGATGCGAGGTCGTCTTGCGATGCGAGGTTCCCTATGCATCAGTCTTTTAAAAAAGTCTTGCGAAGCATTGGTCTCACAAAAAAAAAGTCTTGCAAAGTACGGTCATAGGTCTTGCGAGGCATTGGTCTCACAAAAAAAAAAAGTCTTGCAAAGCACGGTCATAGAAAAAATGTCTTGCGAGGCACCATAGTGATCACAAAAACAATCATCTTGCGGGTTTTTCGTCCCACGAGGCAATTGTCTACCGAGGCACTACTGTATTTTTTTAAAAGCAGCTGTGTCCATAATTCAATGCCATACAATAGAACTGAGAATACATAGTATCATACAATGGACTTTCCGAAAAACAATTCAAAATTCTTGTTTTATATAACATTCTACACTTTTAAGAAAACTGTTCTGGCTCATCTCTGTTTTGAATTTTTTTTCCCATGGTTACAATTCCACAGTTCAGTCCACCACATCCCATTTATCATCATATTCTATGCTTTCATTTGGGATTTTTAACTGCATGAACCATGAACTTAGTTTTCTTAACATTCATTTCTGGACCATAATCATTACTCACTTCATTGCCTTTATTCAGTACCCTTAACAGATCATCTGAATTATCAGCCTGTAATACTGTGTCTGCATACTGGATGTTGATGATAATTTCTCCGTTGACAATAACCCTGCCGTCCAAGTCAGCAAGTGCATTTTTTAAAATATGTTTTTGGGATACAAATTAAAAACCGGTGGCAAGAGTACACATTTGTTGGACGCCCTTCATACTCCATGTCCTCTATCATCTCTCGTTCAAAATTCACTACAGCTTTTTGTTGCTAATAAAGGTTTCCAATGAATTCCAATGAATATTTCTTGAATCAACAACTCCATCAGCTTCCCATTTCTGATTTTGTGAAATACTTTTTTGTGGCCAGTTAAATAAACACACATATCCTTGATTATGCCACAATAGTTCCCATCAAGCGCATGTAGACAGACCAGTACTTCTATGGCTCCAAAACCTCTTCCGAATCTATCTTCCTTGTTTCCTCCCCCTTCTTTGCATCCATTATAAATCTTGCCACATTGTAAGAAAACCTTCAGCAAATAGCTCACTAAGCTTACTGCTCTTTAGTCACTACAAGGTTTGACATTTTTCTTTGGGGGTAATATAATAATTTTTTATCTCAGTTAAATTTTAGGAACAATTTCTGTTCTGTAAATTTGACTCAAAAGATTACTAAAACTTGGGGAGGGGGACTGAGGAAGTGGGGAAAAAATAGCCGGTATCTTAGGGCACCACTTTTTAAAAAACAGAAGGAAAATGGAAAGTTTTCCCAGAGGAAGATTTTATATGTTTTTCTTTTAAAGGTCCATTGAAGAGCAGGGAGGAACCTCTCCATTTGTCTTTTATTTTCTTAAAGTGGTGCTCACCTCCACAACTTTTTAAAACATACCTTTTTTGGATGCCTCAAAACTGTCATAGAGATTTATCTTCTGGGTATCATACGTTAATGTGGTGTTTGGCAAGAGAGTTCTGTTTCTGTTGATTGTGTTCACAGCAAATCGGAAGGCCAATTCCTCTGCTCCCATCGCCCCCGTTGGACCAGATTCCACGCATTCAAAAATACCTCCTAGAGAAATGGAAATGGAAAATAATTACTTAATTAAAATAATGTCTATGACCATCATGCCACTGAGAACAGAGACTGCAAGTAACATACAATTTATCCCAATGAAATCTGATTCCAGATTTGTTTTTATTTCATGATGTAAGAAAGAAGAGAGAGAAAGCCAAAGACATCTCAAGACTGGCAAAAGAGAAGGAAGCCTTTACATTTAAAGCAAGAGGTATGGGTTGAAGCTACATCTTGCAAAGTGAAGACGTTTAAACCACAGATCAATACACATACAGCATAACAGGATGTTGATACACTATTCTTGTGCCTTAACCTCTGCACCAAATAAACATTATAGCATAATCTCAGCAGCCACTCCACTCCTTTTCTACAAGTATATCTTTAGTGGTGTGAAAGAGCGCCAATTAAACACAGACTGCCTTATTCAGCATAATCTACAAATAGCAAATTTGCAGTGCAATCCTATCCATAGATGCATAATCTTTACTAGTCCAGCCCACCTGTTCCATATTTGGGGGAAGGTAATCTCATTGTGTTTAATGAACTTAGTTCTAGTTGAGCAAAGCTTTCTTCCTTTTTAAAGAATCAAAGAGTGGAACTCCTCTATTCCCCCCCCCTCGGGGATACAAGTTAAGGTACAAGAAAGGTACAACAGTGTGCAAGCTCTACTCACTCACTTCTCAGGAGCCAAGATTCCCAAGTTCAAAACCCCAGAAGTGATATCAGGAGCTGGAGTTGAAAACCACAGCAATCTTAAATGTACCAAATAGTTCGAAGGAGAAAGCTTTTTGAAAACCACAGCTTGCTTCCTGGTGCTCTTTTAAATAAATAAATAACTTTGACTTCTATGCTGCCCACCTGGCTGCCAGGCCACTCTGGGTGGTTTACATATCTTTCTCTTCCTTTTCTTGACAGCTTTTCATAACTCAGCCAGTTCTGAAAGTGGATGCTGCATATTTAAAAAAACAACCCAGTCAGCTGCCTTGGTGTCACAGCCACAGATTCAGAACAGTGAGGATGCTCTGCCTGGGAGTAATCTTCACAGGTAGTGGGATCACAGCAGGAGCCCCCCCCCCCAAGCCCAGGTTTTTAAGAGAACAAATTTGGCCACTGGCCAGACCTCAAAACAGAAGGAGACACCTGGCCACCGCAAAACTATAGGGCAAAGTCTCTGGAGGGCCTCAGACTGGGTATAAGAGCAGAAGCATGAAGTGTGCCCAAAGGCTGCACTTTCCCCACCGCCTGGATAACTTAGGTAGAGTGGAAATGTTCAAGGATAAACCAAAGAACAGACACATCCCAGATAGGACTTGAGTCAGCTTAAGGCATCCTGACAGATCAAGGGCACAGGAAGACTAAAATATCTCAGTTTATAAGGAACCTGTGCCTAGTAAGCTAAACGCAGGTCACTGAGGTGTTTCTTTGCAGGCAGGTAAAGAAATCTGGTGAGGTGGTTACAGTCAGGATGTAGCAGTTTGTTTGTTTGTTTGTTTGTTTGTTTGTTTGTTTGTTTGTTTATATCCCGCCTATCTGGTCAATATGACCACCCTAGGTGGCTAGAGTTGCAGCAGAGGTGGGAAAAATGGTTGAGTCTCGCTCAGTGAAAAATTGTGGCTAATGGAGCCTGCAAGTGGAGAACATAGATTTTACACTTTACAAAAACCACTGGTAGCTCAGTCTTTTTTCTGGAGCTCCACAAACCTTTGGTGAGTGAGTTGTCTGTTTTGTTTTAGAGAGCTGGCTTGCGTCAAACAAATTTCCAAACGAACTTCAGAAACCAGAAGCAATGTAAATGATGTAACCAAACAGCAAAGCAAACAAGAAATAATAGACACTTCATAAGTTCCATGCCACTCTCTAATTAGTGTATTATGAAATTCCCGAAAGTGGTTTAGTTTCACCAACCACCTCCTTATTTTATCCTCTGTCTTGTGCCTTAAGGAGAAGATACTCTTTTTTTCTGCTGCTGAACCTATAAAACCCAGCCCTTGAGAAATGGATGCCGAAATAATTAGAAAAGAGATACATTACATGCTAAGAGCAGAAGTTACAAACCACTGCTTAAAAGGGTACTAATTTAGATCCCACAAAGTTTCAGCAATTAGATCGAGATACTGAATACATGTAGATACAGAAGTGGATTAGCAGGCAAAAAAACACTCTGAGAATAAGAGCAAGGAAGAGTATTACAAAGGCTGTTGTCCAAAAGAGGAGGAGACAAGCAAACCTCGATAACTGTTATGGGAAACAAAGAAGGGTCAGAGGTGGTGTTGAAATAATAGAAAATGATGCTAATGAAGATGTGAGGGGTTATGTTCAAGAATCCAGACCACAAAGTTGAATGTGCTTTGTAGATCATCCAGTGGAACCTCTGCATTATACAAAAGATTAAGAGTACAACCCTAACTGATGGCTGTCCAGTCTCTGCATGAAAAACTCCAGTGAGTTTATTTGTTCTACAGCTGAGCTGCTTTTCCCATCAATGGTTAACACAAAATGTCCCTTCGTGTAACTGACATCCATTAGAATCTTGTTAGGCCTCTATATTTGCACTGAGCTGCAGTTTAGACCCTGAAAATATTTGAAATCAGCCCGCAACCTCAAGATGCATTCTATTTTTGGTTCAGCAGACTATATGTATAAAAAAGGTTTTGCAGCAGAATGAAAGAAAGCATAACTTTGCTAAATGTAGATACCAGCTGTGTGCGTTACAATATAATTCTGTGTTTTCTTCAAAGGTTTTTTTGGGCTTTGTTGAGGTATTTGTAAAACCCAAAGCATATTTAAATAAACAGGCGTTAAGCAAGCTGGATGAGCTGTAAACTTGACTATTATATCCTAAGTGACAATAGATTTATATCAACAAAATGTCGTTTTAATGGGCTTTTCCCTGAGAAAATGCAAATTTCCAAAAAAAAAAAGCAGGGACTTTTAAAATAACTTCATAATAAGTTCTCTACATTTGTGCCTGCCACGTGCACACACTGTAGCTGTACCATTCTTCTTGCAGTTTGCTCTTCATATAGAAACATTGTTACTTCTACTAAAATGTAAATATAAAGAAGAGTATTAAGAAATCCATTTGGCATAATCTTTTCCTTTGTTAGAAAGTATACACCAGCACCACAAACCTCGATGTTCACTTGTTAATCCCCACAAAGGTATATGTAGTATCTCTTGCCTTAAAAATGTCCATTTTATAATAATGTTCAAGTGCAATTCTGCACAACTCAAAGGCCATTTGCAACTAGAAATGGGACCAAACTCGCTAAAAGAGTTCAGCGGCACTATCCTTTAATAAGTTAGGCCTACAGATGATTCCTGATTGCATACAACTTTAGAAATAATATGACCATCTTTTATACTAAAAGATACCTTGAAAAGTTGGAGATCTATTTAATTGGGATGCATGAAGCAGATTATAATTAATGATAACAGTCATTAGATCTCTCATGTTTCATTGTTAAATTTGTTCCATTCTGTTTCTGCACAAATTTGAAAATATTATATTTTAAAATCAGCATGAAAATGTCTCAATTTCTTCGTGTTTATTCCTCTAACAAATGGCATTTCCTGCAAATTCTTTAACATGGTTTGATATTCTCCTCTATTGTGGTTTTTGTGGGCACTCCCAACAGGTTCATGTGGCACACACTTACCACATTTTTCCATGTGTAGGATGCTACTTTTTCCTAAAATCATTACACTAAAAATTGAGGGGTGGCTTATACACATAAGTAAGTTGAGAACATGGAGAGAACAAAATGGCCTGTACCTTGCCTCTGTAAAGAGGCTTCCTTCAATCACAAGGCTTAGCTTCCTCCAGTCACGAGCCTTGTGGAACTGATGTCAGCTGATGCTGAACAATCAGATTCTAATACACCTCGTTGGAGGTGGAGCCTATAGGCTCAGATTCAACAAGGACTAGTAATGTCTGAGTGTTCTGAGCCCAGAGGTTGAATACTCAAAGCTACATTTTCTTAATTTTGGGGTTAGAAAAGCGGCGCATCTTATAAACAGCGGCGTCTTATAAATGGAAAAATATGGTACTTCTAATACACACATTCTATATGCACTACTTTTTTGCAACATTAAACTTTTTTGCAACACTGAACTTAATTGCAATATTTGGAAAATGTAAGAATTCAAAGCACTATATTCTCACTTTTGTGTAAATTTGGGGAGTGTGAAAAATGTAAATTAAGAAATGTTCTCTCTCAGACTCAGCTTTTAGTTTATTAAAAAGCACACTATTCATTGACATTTACACCTTGCAGTCTTAACTTTAAAAATGAAAATCCAGTTTGCAGCCACTACAAAACCACCGAAGAGATTTGCGGAATGGAGGGGTGATGAGTGCGGCTAAGGCTTCTATAAACTGGTAGCACCAGACTACCAGCAACAAGTTGTGATAGGAATTGGTATGCACTGGTATAACACAATACAGTATGTGAATTTTCACTGTGGTTGAGCTAGATGCAATTCTGTACTACAGATTCACATAACAAAGATTCTTCTGAGTTATAACATATCAGAATGGAAGGGAGGGGCTGCACCTTTGAAGATCCTCCAATTGAAACCTTGGCACATAAAGAGAGAAAATGACAAGAGAGAGGTGTTTTCTTCTTTCACACTGTAGATTCAACATCACCATTGATGCAATAGCTCCAAATCAGTTGTTCCCAGAAATCCTGGCCAGCACAGCTGGTGGTGAAAGCAGTCCAAGAACACCTGGATTAACCAACGTTGGGAACCACTGCTCTAAATAATGATGTGTTCCATCCAAACCCATCCCCAAGATTCCTCAGTCCATATCACCTTTTCCTTCAAACACTTATTTTCCTGTACATTATACAGTACCCTGAATGAAAGTTTATACTTTCCATTTTTCATTAGTTGACCAAAGTACTCCACTTTTCTGCATTTTATATTTCTTCGTCTTGGTTCTTTCATCCTAGTACTTCATTTATCATCTTCTCAATTCAAGAAATTCT